AATCGAGGCTTCTACAACCCAACCGACGCTCAAATAAAATAGATCCAAGCACACCATGTACTCAAAATTTCGATCCTACAAAATATAGAAACTTTAACTTATTTTTTGTATTCCGCTTCGGGGAGGAGATCTTTTTTGACATAATCGAGCGGGAATAGAGCTCTGGATAGTGAATGAAGACTTCTAATGGCGGAATAAGTTCCTACGGGGAGGGTCAACGACAATTTCTTTGAAGGGGACTTTGATGACGAGAGAAAACGTACAACGTGAAGAGTTTAGAAGAAATGTGAAAGCAACGATTTGGATGGTAGTATCTATTAGGTTTTTTTTCTTTTTTTTTTTTGAATTTAGTATTCTGTTACTAATTTTAGTACATAAATAAAAAATTTAGGTACATAACTCTGACTTATTCTTCGTATAGTGAGATAATTTTAGAGTACGTAATTGGATAATGTAAATTTATATAAAAATAACACAAGTACATTCAATATTTCTTATATTATATAGAAATCTTAAGGGTAAAATGGGTATTAGGGAGTTAAGTACAATTGAAAATAAAAAATACCGGAGTACAATGTAAGTGCAAAATGAGAAATGATTGAAACTAAAGGGGGGTATTCAATTAGGATTTTAATGGATTTGTTTAGATTTTGAAAAGTACGTAGACTTAGTAGATTTATAAATTCTATAAAATCTATGCAGAGTTTAATTGATCTTATTTATTGATTTATATGGATTTTGATAGATTTGATTGAATTATTTATTGATTTCCCTGAACTTCATTAAACTTTATAAATTTGTAAATTAAATATATTTTTTTATTGATTTAAATAATTTCAAATATATGCAGTACACTTGTATGTATATAAAAAATTTCAAATACTTAACAAAAATATTAAAAGTACATTAGTTCAAAAAAAAATATTTATTATTATTCTCATTTTTATTTTATTTTAATAATAATAATATTTTTATATTTATAGTTTTTGTTATAGTATTATTTTGATCGTATTTAGTATATTATATATATATTCAACGTAATTAATTTTTATTTTGTAATAATCTATTTAATTGTTATTATTATTATTATTATTATTATTATTATTATTTATATGAATTTTTATACAAAAAAATATATTTATAAATAAAATCACATTAAAATTACAATTTTTATTAATTAAAATTAAAAATAAAATATGGCAGTTGCTCCGGTGCTAGTCCATTGGCAGCCGGTAGCCGAGGGGGCCCACTACCAAAAAAAGGGCTATTCACCACGGGTTGAGAGTCCGTAACAATAAAATCGTAACAAATAGATATATTAGTTACGACAAAATCCGTGACGAAAAAAAAAAAACCCGGTCAACGTTTTAGGTTCTGTCGTTACGCAAAAAATATCGTAACAAATAATGAGATGGTAGAATTTGGTCAAAATAACATTAGTTACGTAAAGTGTTCGTAACTACTGGTATTTAATTTTTTTTTTTGGAAAAGTTAAATTAAAAAAAAAAAAAAAAAGTAAAATACTGGATTGACGCTTTCATTCCAGAAACGATCAAAATGGACAAAAACGCTATATCATCCCACACTTAGACAAATTAGGGCATCTGGTTCATTTCCCTCGTTCGCTTCTCACAGTCGCCCGCGATCCGATTTCCTGTAGCTGCCGACGACGACGCGCGAGGTGAAATCGATCCGTCCCTGGGATCTACTCCGGCGCACCTCACCCAGGTAAGGTTTTGAAGGTAGCTCGAAAAAGATTTTGTATTACGCGAGGTATCTTCGACAAATTAGGGCATAATCTCGAGATTACCAAAAAAATGGGCTTTCATTACGGAAAGAAGATTCGTAACAATATTGTCATAATAAAAGATGGTTTTTGTTATGAATTTTTTCGTGACAAAAGGAATTTTTATTAGTCAACGTCTTTTTTTATTTATTACGATAAATGTTTCGTAACAATTAAAAATATGACAAAAAAATATCGTAAATACAATAATTACGACTTTATTCTGTAACAAAGAAAAGCATTTTTTATAATTTTTAATAAAAAATTAAAAATTAAAAAAATAATCAAACTTCAAATATTGAAAATAATATTTAACAAATTAAATGTAAAATAAATATAAATAAAAATTTATTATTAATTAATTGTATATAAAATTTATTACAATATATAATAAATAAGTAAAAATATATTGCACTATCTACCAGCCGCCCTCCTCCTAGTTTTAACAAATTGAATGTAAAATAAATATAAATAAAGATTTATTATTAATTAATTATATTTATAAAATTTACAAAGGGTGTGTTTGGTTGGATGATTGGATTTTGGATTTGGATTTTGGAGAATTTTGAAGTATGGATTTTTAAGTTGAATTTGTTTGAGAGTTTGAATTTTGTAATGATTATGTAGGATGAAATTATTATTTTATTGAAAAAAATGATATATTGATGTGATAATTTGAAAGAGATGATATTTAAATAATATTTTATTGAAGAAAATGATATATTTAAATTTAGAAAATTTATTTTTTTGTTCTTTTATTTATTGTGTTCTTTTATAAAAAAATTTCAAATTTCAAATTATTATTCATATTTTTTTTTTGCTAAAAATATCAAATCAAATAAATATTTTTTACTTTAATAATATACTAAAAATTAATTTTATATTTAAAATATCACGTCATTGACTCAATATCTATTTATATCATATTATACCATTATTTTAAATATAATTTTAAATTATTTTTTAAAAAAAATAAATATAAATATGTAAAAATAAAATAATATTATCATTCATTTTTTCCCATCACTTATAACTAAATCATAAACCCTACCCACACCCGCCGCCCTCCCCCTTTCTTCTCCAACGCGAAGTTATCCTTTCTTCGTCCTCTTCTTTTTTCTTCTTCTAACTTGCTCAGCCGCCGGCGCCCCTGTAGGTTAAAAATCGATAATGTGAAAACATTTTTCTCATATCGATTTTTAATTTATATTTCTTCCGTTTGCAGTCTCATCTACCTTGGTCGCTGGTCGAATTCTCCCCGCCGCAGCGTCCCGTTGAAGTGAGGGATTTTGGAACACGTCTCCGGCATCGATCCATCAGGTAGGTGGTTTTTCTAGCTTCTCCCTTCTCTTATTTCTTCTTGTCCTGCTTTCCTTCCTCGCCATGCCCTCGTCGGTGAATTTTGTTTATTCTATTTTGCGTTTCCATTCCCATTTGTTCATTGCTTGTTGTTAGGGTTGGTTGTTCAGCCACAACAACCAATGGCCGATAAGTTTGAAAGATTTGTAGTATTTTACATTGTAGATTGTCCTCTAGGTTTTATTTTGAAGCTCCTTCTGTTAGATTTAAAATATGCTATTGAATATTTTTACACATTGAGTCATATATTTGGAAGTCTGATGTTTTGTTAGAAGCAAACTCTGGTATTGCGTGATCCACCATGTTGGTGATGTGTTTGTAACACAGATACTGAAAATTCATTTAGCCAGCAAAGTGCAGCACTTTTGAATTTTTTACATTGTTACTGTATACAATTGTGCCAAGTGAATTTATCGATTAAGTTAAGTGTGATGTTTTGTGCTGTTTGGTTTAGGAATTTGGGCATCCTACATTATGATAAATATATGTGAAATTCCAATGGTGTATGGTTCTGTTTCAATTTTCATGAAGATATGACAGCTTCTCTGTTTGTGTAATTGTATTGCATTTCAGTCATAATATCTGGGAAAGAGTGCTTGTGTTGTGGATTTTTTGGATTTGAAATTTTTCGGATGGAAAAAGGGTTTTTGGATATTATGTTTTGAATAGAAAATAGGTGTCGGATGTGATAATTAAATAGAGGGAAGAAGATTATTTTAGTATAGATTATATGATGCAACAAGATTTTTTTATTTTTTTTAAAAAAAAACCAAAGTGCACACACAAGCAAAGTTAATAAATACACTTTATGATTTGATGGTTTTGTGAACTTTATTTATTTATTGGTGTACCCTCCCAAGACTTTCACTCATTTTATCTTTTCATTCTGCAATAATTGCAATGAAGTACAAAAATGATCTAGCAACACTATCCAATATAGAGTGCTTCTTTCCAAAACAACTTTGAATTTTGTTATTATGTGTGGATATTTAAATAAGTTTCATTGGATTCTACAGCATAATATATACAGATTCAGACGCATATATTGTTAGATAATGATACATACATATGCTGCATAATATGAATATGATATCATATCTACACTCTAAGTATTGGCTCCTTTGTCGGAACCAATACCATTTTTTTTGTTACTTGGTTGTATGCGTCGATTTGTCGGAAGCAACACCATTTGGGCTATTTTAACTGAAAATGAGTGCATATTTAACTTGTGTTTATTTACAGGATACTAAATTGTGGAGACAAAAGTGTGCAGTGTGAATTCAGGATAAGCAACATTGAGTTTAACGGAAGGTCGGATTTCTTTTTAATGCATTTCCACAGTGCAAAGCTTCTAAGTGTTCTATGTTTTCTCGAGTGGTGGTGTAGTTAAGTGTTATGTGCATTCCCACAAACCTGCTTTACTCTTTAGACATCAGATTTGAGGATTTTTTTCATATTCGTACAAAAGGGCAAGGAAAAATTTAGAATAGTAGGAAATTTTTCTTGACCCAAGTAGGGTATGGATAATTCTTGCTGCTCTAGTATCTAGAGATGACGCTCAGAATTTTTGGCGGAGCGTAGACATCATTTAATTCTCATTAAATGGCATCCATAAAAGGTTCTAAAGTGGAGATAATGGCTGATTTTAAACCATGGGCCTTAATGTTGTGATGAATGTTATGTTTTACTTATAAGTGCAATACATGGACTTATAGGTACAAAAATGCAGTTTATTAAAGCTGATGCTATAACTTTGTTCTTTTAAATTGAGGGAGCAAGCCCGTATCAAGACTTAAACATTACAATTTTGAATGCATGTTTTGTTGATGGAATCACATGTATATTGCCTTTTTAGATGGATAGGAGTTGGATAGACGATGCGAACCATATCTCGGCTCAATATTTGGATGGGGTCAGGGCTTTCTTAGATTTCGCATTTAAAGATCGTAGCTCTGAATCTTGCATCTATTGCCCCTGTACATCTTGCGGAAATCGCTTAACAAAATCTCGTAGAGATGTCTTGCTCCATTGTATTCGTTATGGATTCGACCAAACCTACAAGGTTTGGACTTGCCACGGAGAAGGAGAGGTGAACCCTGCTGTTGCAAACGACAACATGCCAATGCGTTGGGAGGAGGAACTAGAACTTCTATTGCGAGAGTGTGCATATACAGAGCACACCGATCCGGGGCCCAGTGGAAATGAACCTCATAGGGATGACGAAAATGAACATATACATCATGGCAGTAAGGGGTATAGAAAGATGTTAGAAGATGTAGAGAAAGAGCTCATACCAGGGTGCAAGAAGATGAGTAGACTCTCGTTTATCGCACGGCTTTTGTACTTGAAGGTTTTGTGCCACTGGTCTAATAATTCTATTGATTTGCTGTTAGAGCTGTTACGGGATGCACTTCCAGACGATGTTGTCCTTCCGAAGAACTTCTATGAGGCTAATAAGCTGACCAAGGACTTGGGGTTCACATGCAAGACTATCCATGCGTGCATCAACAATTGCATGTTGTTTACCGGGGAAGATGTTGACCGTGAGGTTTGTGTTGTGTGTGGGGAAAAGCGATTTACACAGGGTAAAGATAGATCTCCAGTGAAGAAGTTAAGGTACTTTCCATTAATTCCGCGATTGCAGCGATGGTACGTATCTTCCAAAACTGCATCTTCTATGAGATGGCATGCCGAAGGGCGTGTAGACGATGGCAAGATGCGTCATCCAACAGATAGTCCTGCGTGGAAGAGTTTCGATCATCGGTACCCGACGTTCTCTGAGGAGATTCGCAACGTACGCCTCGGTCTGGCCACTGACGGTTTCAACCCTTTTGGGAATATGAGTGTGAGTTATAGTATTTGACCCGTCGTACTTGTGATATATAACCTACCTCCGTGGCTGTGCATGAAGCAACCATCGTTCATCCTCTCTACGATTATAGACGGCCCGCATGGCCCGGGGGATCGGATTGATGTCTTCCTTCAACCTTTGATCGATGAGCTTAAGGAGCTTTGGTATGATGGTGTTCGGACGTACGATGCGAGTACTAAGGAGGATTTCCAGATGCGAGCTGCATTGCTGTAGACTATTAGTGATTTTCCCAGTTACGGTATGTTGTCAGGGTGGCCGACTCGTGGGGCGAATGCATGCCCTGTTTGTGGTTTAAAAACTCATTCCAGATACCTGAAAAATGGACATAAGTATAGCTATTGCGGGCATCGACGGTTCCTGCCGGCTGGGCATAGAATGCGCTTTGATAAACATGCATTTGACGGTTCGATGAGCTTTGACGGAAAGCCTTCTCGCTTGACCGGCGCTGAACTTCTGCAGCAGCTTCAGGATATGCCTACTGAGTATCGTACGGTTGACTTGATTGAGAAACGCATTGCACAGGGGTCTCGCAAGCGTCGCCGGGGGGTGGACGGGCAGCAACAGGTGTGGAAAAAAAAGAGCATATTCTTTCAGCTCCCTTATTGGTCTGAGAATGAGGTACGTCACAACCTCGACTTGATGCACATTGAAAAGAATGTGTGTGAGAATGTACTGTATACATTGTTGGGAACTAAGGGGAAAACAAAGGACAATCTGAACACGAGGAAAGACTTACAGTTGATGCAAATACGTAGTTCTTTACACCCGGTATCGGGTCCTAGGGGCGCTATATATTTGCCGGCAGCTACGTACACCATGAGTAACCCCGAAAAACGGATATTCCTATCTGTGTTGAAGGACCTCCGACCACCTCATGGGTTCAGTTCAAACTTATCGCGTCGTGTGAAGGTAGAACAACAACTAATATGGGGACTTAAGAGCCACGATTGCCATGTTCTTATGCAACGAATTCTACCTATTGCTGCCCGACGGTATACCCTTGAAACGCAATTATTTTAATTAACATGATATATGCCTCCTCTAAATATAACTGAAGGTGCTGATTCAACACTTCCTGTAGGTGTCTTCCCAAAAATGTTGTGCTCGTGTTGATTGAACTTTGTAACTTCTTCAATTCGATGTGCTCAGCTCATAACACAGTTCGTGAACTGGAGCGAATCCAAGAAAGAATTTCTTTGACGCTATGCCATCTTGAAAAGCTATTCCCACCTTCATTCTTTGATGTAATGGAGCATCTGCCTATCCATTTGGCTGAGGAGGCTATGGTGGCCGGTCCGGTGCAGTACCGGTGGATGTATCCCATTGAGCGGTACTTGGGTACTCTGAAGAGGTACGTACGGAACAGGGCACAACCTGAGGGTTCGATTGCACGTGGATACCTCATGGAAGAATGCGTGACTTTCTGCTCAAGATATCTCGGAGACATAGAGACCAAAGAGAACCGGGCTGCTCGAGGGGAGGAGGACGGGACACAACACGGGAAAGGATTGTTTGGTTCTAGGTTCAATCTTGATTACAATACGATGCACCAAATTCATTGCTACATCCTAGGAAATATAGATGAAATCAGTCCGTTGCGAAGGTTTTTTCACATCAATTTAACAATACTTGTATGCGTATCCGACCTGTGTTGAATATCTTCGACTTTTATTTTTGCACTGTAGGATTCACCTTGATACTATTAGGTCATGTCGAACTCGCGCACCCCCACGTGAGGTGCACCAGCAGCACAACGAACAATTTGCGTCTTGGTTTCAATCATATGTGAGTACCGCCTACATCGTCCGTACGTGGTATCTTGACTACACTCCCAAAAAACATTGAAATCACGAGTGTTCATGAACTACTTTACATCAAATGTAGGTAGATGATCCGACAAATAATGATGAGTGCCCAATCTCAGCGGAGATCCGTGCATTGGCGGGTGGACCATTATGCAATGCAACACGGTACTCTTCGTGCATTGTGTCAGGAATACGCTATCGTGTTCAAGACCGGGATGCAAGGAAGAGGACACAGTGTGCAGGTGTTATGGTTACGGCAGATACAGTGAGTTATGCCTCAGCTAGGGACCATAACCCACGAGAAGGTTCCGTGGCATATTACGGGATTCTTACGGACATTGTGGAAGTGTACTATAGCAATCAACAGAAGTATCTCCTTTTAAAATGTGACTGGGTGGATCTGGAGAGGGGCGTTAAAGAGGATGAGTTCAAATATAAATGTGTGAACTTTAAGTATTTGATGTACCCCAAGAACTTGCCCACGGATGAGCCTTTCATCTTAGCGACCCAAGCCTCTCAGGTGTGGTACATTGCAGACCCGGTTGATGAAGGTTGGAGCGTTGTCGTTCCGGTGTCACGGCGAGACACGTATGACGTGTATAGTACGATCGATCATAGATTCAGCACAGGGTTACCTTTAGATGACGGAGGCAATGTTAGAGGAGCAGCCGATTACTGGCTAAGGGAAGGTATTGAGGGGCAAGTAGTAGAAGATGCAGGGCAGATGGACCATGCCGATACTTTGCCTTCGGATTCGGAGGAATCCTCCGAAGATGATGGTGCTTAGCGCAGAATCAAATAAGCGGGCATTTTTGGTAGTATGCGAATATAGCCTAATTGGCCCATTTTTGATGGTTTGGCAACCACGCAACCTTTTTGAGTTCGCAGTTCAGAATAAATTACACATCTCAACAGATGGTCATCTATGCGGGGAGGGGGGGTCGGTGATTGAAGTACGTAATAGGTAACCACTTTCGGACATGCATGCCATCGTTCATAGGCCCTGTTTTCGCTTGATTTGCTGAAGCACTTTGCATCCATTATGCGCGCGCAGGATGTTATGATTTTTTCCGAATATGTCAACGCGGATAAGCTCTTTACCCCCGTTTGCGTATGCTGAAGCAATTTACCCTGATTAATTGCAGTAACTATTATGTGAATTTCTCGTAATATGTCACTTCATAAGCTTTGTTGTGATAAGTGTGTTTTGATTTTCTCCTAATATACGTTTTCATACTGCCAACTAACACTGGTGTCTTGCAGGTTATGGGCAAATCTCAACGTGCTGCCGTTGGAGGGTCACAGGATCCGGCAGTCTCTCCCGCAAGACGTTTTACCCGGGCATCCGCACGTAACAGCCCCCTAGAGGCAACTCATCCCGCAAGCAGGAATCCATCGCCCATCCGCAATCCCACAAAGAAAGTGACAAAACGGAAGGGATCTCGGGTCTCGCCACTGCTCCAGCGACTCCGGTCCATCACATCAGAGTGGGAGAAAGAGCGCGATGCTCGTGGTCAAAGCATGAAGCCAACATCTTCCACTCGAAGGGCAGTGCTTCAGGATTCAGAGGGCCCTTTGGAGGTAATGTGGTTCCTTTGCCGAAAGCATGTCCTTATTTGAACTCTCAGTATAACACTACAATAGGCTGACACTGTTAACCCCAACAGGAACATGATGATAGGGATGTTCCATCACTTTTTGATCCGACGGCACTGACACAGGATGACGATGATACAATCCCCCCCACACAAGCAGATGACGAGACACTTCCGCTGACGCAGGACATGGAGACTGCAGAGAGTGATATGCCACTCTTGGATGAAGGGCCAGGCTCCGACCCCACTCTGATGACAGGAACAGAGGCGGGCAATATGGCACCATTGGACGAGATGACATCGCACGACGGTTTGGAAATTAGCCTTCAAAGATTACCGATTACATTTAGTGACTTCATATTTTGCATGTAATATCCTTATTAGAACATGTAATCTCCTGTTTGTGTCAGCTGGTTCGTCAAAGAAAAAGCAGGGGAGAGGGGCGGCACGAATGCCGCGTGGATGGGGAAAAGATCACAGGATGCTTGTATTCACATCGCCGGATGGTAAAAGCATCGTCGGACCCGACGTAAACGAGTACAAGACAGCCATTGGGGTCATTGCACGCAACGGAGCTCGACTTCCTCTACATTACCCCACGTTCGCTGAGATACCGGAGACGAAGAGACAGGGTGCATGGATGGAGGTTCAGGTGATGCAAACTTCATTAAATTGAAAGTTCTTTTATTTCATATAGATTCTTATATATGGCCCTACCATCTTCTCCGGACCTGGTGGAAACCGTGTGAAACGGCATTCCAGAGTAACAGCGGATTACCAGACTCAGCGGAGAAAGTGGTCTTGGCTGACCTAAGGGAAGTTTGGAGGCACTGGAAATACAGCATCAAATCAACTTACTTCAATCCGATCGAGGACGATGAAGAAGCACTGAAGAAGGTTCCCTCAAGCAGGATTGTGCCCGATCAGTGGCCGAAGTTGGTTGAGTATTGGCGCGACGAGAAGGTGAAGGTACGCATAGGGACATGCCAAATTAATATACGTTAAATCTGCACGGGCATGGACTGAGAACTAAATAACTTTGATTGACGTAGCTTCAATCCAAGAAAAATGCGTCGAACGTAGCGAAAAGAAGCTTTCCACATCGTACTGGGCGGAAGTCATTCACGACTCTGGCAGAGGAGGTACCTTTTATTACAATTAAGTAATTAGTCATGTCATGCTCCATCCCCATATTTTCCTCTCCTGTATTTCATTATGTTTTCGATGACAGAAGGCCTTGTATTGCTGCAGATCAAGGCAAAGGGGAAGGACCCCGACAATCTGGAGATTTGGATTTCCAGTCGCACACAAGGCAAGGGAAAGGATGACCAAGAAACCGAGGAGATATTGGTAGAATAAATTCGTTCCCAACTTAGTTACAATTCAGTCAGTATTTACATCTCTAACAACAAGAGCAAGTTCGGCCTCACTTAAATCTTTCCTGTAGACTTATTTACAGAATGAGCTAAACAAGGTTCCCCCTGAAGGGCGGACTCCCTCTGTTCGGGAGACTCTGTACCGACGGGCCCTTGGGGGAAAGATTAAGAAGCGGTCAAAGGTCGACAGTGCGGCAAGTTCAGCTCATCCCCGCAGCGAGTCAACTGGTTTAACAGACAGTGTAGCATTCCAGCATGGGTGGGAACAACTACAGAATGGAATGGAGGAGCTGAAGGCAATGATGGATGAGTTCAAAACCATCAAGGTTGATGTGTATGCATTCATGCACAGAAACTCCGGAGCGGTTACTGGCCAGGCAGTAAGTATTCATAATCCCTGACCTGTTTGGTATGAGTATCCCATGAGATTTGGATGGCGAAGGAATTTACCATCCTCGGCATGTTATATGATAGGGCACATCTCGTATTGATTCAGTCCCTGAGATTCCCAGGCCTGTGTCCGAGCCAAGCATGACGGTATGATTCCGTGACGCCCTGGAGTTTCTTAGAAATCAGTGCAGTGTCTAATTTAGGCTACTCTTGACTGCGTACTACCTTATCCAACTCATATGCCCTGTCTGTTGTAGGTCGGCACACATGTGCTTCTATTATCCCACACCGGTGAGAAAAAAGTTGTTGCAGAGGGACTTCTGCTCTGCCCCCCTGGGCCAGGTTGGTCCGGTATCTTTGAGGATGTTTAATTAAACTTTTAATATGCCTCAGCGAGATATCGTAGGTTTTCGTGACTGTTCAGGCCTCATATTGCGTATTAGCATGGATTCACTAAGTGTAGAAGTATACAATGATACGATCCGTGGATTTCCAAAGCGATGTAGACTGTTAATGTAGGGGTGGTAAAATAACTGCTATTATGACGACCCATGTTTATTGAAGGATGTTTGGTTTAAAGATCAAGCTGCAATTACATAGGAAATTAGGGTATAATGTGCTTCGCTACCTAACTCATGAATGTAATACCATGTACTGTACGACATGTCTGAATGTACGTACTCCTCTTGTTCTAGTTCCAAAGTATTACACTTATAATGTCTGTGTTATGACATGTTATATATACAGTTCGAACGTCTGTTGATATATATGCTTGAATGTAATCAAAAATTGCTCTTGTGAATGCTGTAGGTGACACACTTTCCTTGGTCAAGGTCTTCGTGACATCCGCGTCAGTCCCGGACACACCCCTTATTTTGCCGACCATTTCTGGGGCGACTACCCTTCGCGATGTCGTCGGCGAAGATCCTATTGAGTGGAGCTACAACGACGTAAGGATCTACTTTAATACCTTTCTTGTATTGCCTTCCGAAATTTATAAGAAGTATGACTTAAAGTAATCTCTGTGTTGGCAATTGCAGCTCATGCGCCGGACTTGAAATGTTGGTACCGATACACCCATGTTAATTGCCCCGTTTGTCATATGGATTGAATGTCGAACCTGTCTTTGGATGGATTGTGTTGAGTTTTTGTTGAACTATGTCTGGAATTGATGCGTAGACCTTTGTGGTTTGAATTCGTATGGTGAAAAATGTGCCTAATTGCGTTGTTTACTTCTGTTTGAACTGTTAAGCACGTTTTGCGGAACAGGTTGTTGATGTGTAGATACTAGTAGGCTTGTTCTATGGGTTGCTTTACTTTGTTGGTAGGTATGGAATTCAGATTTTAATATGAATTAATGTTTGCGCGGGGCGTAATGATGATGATGTTTATAGCAATCTTTGTATTCGTAATTTATTTTCGTATCATACGCATCACAGCAGGTCCATTTGTTACGAACAATTTCAATTGCAGCGTACCCCCTGTTTTTCACAATACGCTATTTTTCCGTAACAAAAGGCCAGAAAATCGTTACAAAAAGTGGTCTTTGGATATTTGTTGTTACAGACGGTTTCGTGACTATAAGTAGGTAATATTTTTTTTACGGGGTTCAATGCCGTTACAAATAGTCGTAACAAAAACCAAGTTCTGACAACCGGTCAATGGAAAACACTTGTAACGCGAGGAACTTCCGTAACAAATACCGTAACTAAAAGTCCTGCCACACGCGCTGAAGGATCTACCTTTCGTTACGAGAGAAAATTCGTAACAAACATCGTAACAAATACCATACTTCAGGGAGCGTTGACCGATCGTAATAGTTACGAAAAGTGGCGTGGCAAAAAACATTCGTTACGCGAGTACACATTACGGAAAAAAGTCGTAACAAAGGCGTAGCAAATACGCAAATTGCACGAAATATGGCTTTTTGTTACGATTTTCCGACCGTAATAGAAAACAGTTTTTTTGGTAGTGGGGGTATGGTACCTGTTGGTACTGGATTGAAAAGATTAGTGCCCTCTTCAAAAGAATATATCAAGAGTCATTAAAAAGGAATAAATATAAACTAACATTGTCAAATATAATAGGTGGTTTTTGACCTGACGGAACATAAATCGAAATAAGAAAATATAAATTAAAATTATGGAATGTTTAGTTTTGATTTAACATTTCCAAATATTAAAACTGATAATTTTAATTCGAACCATTCGAGCAAATTTATTTGTTATTTTTTATATATATAATTTTTAATATTATTTTAAATATATAGAACTTTAAAATATTGGTAATGTTTATATTAAACTTTTAAATTTTTTTTTCTTATTGATATTATTATAATAAAATAATAAATACATATAAAATAATAAATAGTTATTAATGCTATAAATAAAATAATATGTATTTTTTTTATTAATTTTGAAAATCCATTGAAACCTCACCTCGTAACAAGATAGAGTGTAATCTGTTAACAATAATTTTATTAAAGAATCCAACAAAATTCATGAATTTTTAAAGTACATGGATTGTGGATTGTTGAATACCTCAAAATTTTAAAAGATTGGACACTCAGTACTAGACACCCAAATTTTAAAAAACTTTCTAGATTGAATATAAAAAAAGACTTTTTAAAATCTGAATTGAATACATCCAAATTTTAAGAATCCAATAAAATCCAATAAAATTTATATTGAATACACCCCTAAATATTTTTAAAATATGAGATATTTAAATTCAATTGCCCTTATTATCCATCCTAATTTTTATCTATTCATATTAATATTACAATATTACCATTTTATTACTGTTCTTAAACAATCAAAATTATTGAAAATTTTTAGGACGCAATTATAATACAGTCATACACCAGGTATGAAGGATTAATTTTTAAATTCTTCTTTTGTTTTTTTTTTTTTTTTTTTTTTTTATGACGATTAATTTCTAAATTCTTGATGGTTAGTGGAAAAGGTGGCAGTAGAATTATAAAATAGACGTTGACGCCCGACTTCTTCAGCAAAGACAGACACTCTTCTTCTCCGTCTGTCTCTTCCCTTGATCGATTTACGTTTTCGTCCATTTTTGTCTCTTTGGTATTTTCGCAGATCTGATTTAGTATTCCCCTTTTGTTGTGGCCAGCGGTTTCTTGTTGATTCACATGCGGTATTCTTTTCTTGTGGTTTCAGGCAATGTCCGTGTGCTACGTGTAATTGCCAAAAAAGGAAATCTAAGTACAATTTCCAGTCCTGCAGACGGATGGCAGCATCTTTCGAAGGTTAATTGGGAGGCGATTCTGTGTGGATTTGCGGGCGGGGAAAAGAGATGGCCTCCTCTAGCTTTGGATTGGTAATTGTTTTATAATTTTCTTTTCGTAATTTGTGTGAAATGGACTGGTAGACTTTTATGTTCGATCAGTTTTGTTTTTGTTGCTGTCTTTCTGTTTTCTAATTGTTTTATTATCTTCAGGTGCGAATTCGCCATGATTTATGCTAATGGCGTGCAATAATTTGGGGATTTTTAGGATTTGGTACTGTTGAAGCTTGGAGAGGGTTTTAGAGTTTTGGTTCTGTTTAGGAGTGTTCTTTAGATTGATCAATTGGTTTGTGTTTTTCATTTTGAGAAAACATAGTGTAATTCAGTTGAAGATTTCCGTGAACTGGAAATGGTTGCCAGGAGGGGTGCTGCATCACCCTTCTTGTTGGTATTGTTGGCTTTTATTTTCTTCCTCGGGACGTATAATTTGGTGACTTTGGTGATAAACAAGGCTAGTAGTGGTGGTATAGGGGATTTGAATGAACCGATTATTAGTAGGCGTGAGCTTGGTCGAGGGGGTGGTCCAAAATATCATGTTGTGTTGACAGCCACAGATGCAACTTATAGCAAATGGCAATGTCGGGTTATGTACTATTGGTACAAGAAAATGAAAGATGTGCCGGGGTCAGATATGGGAGGGTTTACAAGGGTTTTGCATTCAGGAAATGCTGATAATTTGATGGAGGAGATCCCTACTATGGTTGTGGATCCTCTTCCACAAGGGCTTGATCGGGTAAGGACTGACGATTGTTTATTTGTGATGGCTTTGTTTATAGATATGTAGATATAAGTTTTACCTTTTGGATAGTTTTAAGAGATGAAACTGTAGTTTGTTTTATGTACTGGGATCATTGAAGTTAATTATTCTGATCTGTTGTGTGTAAATTGATTGTGGTGCCGTCTTTTGCATTTCAAAACCGATATTTACTTGGTGCTTTGTTGGGATGTGGCAACAGGGATATGTTGTTTTAAATAGGCCTTGGGCATTTGTGCAGTGGTTGGAGAAAGCTACAATTGAGGAAGAGTATGTTTCGAGCACTTCCTGGTCATTAGTTCGAGTTGCATAATCTAATTCTTGGTTGGGTTAACCGATGCAGATACATACTTATGGCTGAGCCTGATCACATCTTTGTTAATCCATTGCCGAATTTGGCTCAAGGAGATCATCCGGCTGCATTCCCGTTTTTTTACATCAAGCCATCTGATAATGAGAAAATCGTAAGGAAATACTATCCTGAAGAGAAAGGTCCTGTGACCAATATCGATCCAATTGGAAACTCTCCTGTAATTATCAAGAAGGTATGGTCTTCGATTCCTATTATATGTCTTATTGATTTGCCGAACTGCCTTTAAGATATAACTTAATGCCTATGTAATGCCGAACTACCAAACCTAGAAAAGTGTAGATCAGTGTCTATGCGGTGCTGAATTTCCAAACTTTAAAACCTGTAAAGTGGTGTCTATACGGCGCCAAAATGCCAAACCTAGAAACCAGATGCTGATAGAGTAAATCTTACTGAGGTGAGAAAAGTGGTTTTATGCAAAATCAGATCTTGATAATTTTCTACAGTACACTTTCAGGGAACTAAGATATTTCATGTCAGCTATGAATTCTTTTGACTATTATGCACGGTCTTAATTATATCTTCACATTTGTTTTTCCATGATGGCTTCTGATTCTTGTTGCTGCAGTCAATTATGGAGAAAATTGCACCTACATGGATGAACGTGTCCTTACAGATGAAACATGATCCAGAGACTGACAAGGCGTTTGGCTGGGTTCTAGAAATGTATTGGATTTTTTAGAGTTCTTTATACGATGGAAATTTGAGAAACTTGGCATCTATTTTATTGTTACATTTTGCTATGATTTCAATTTGTTTTAGGTACGGTTATGCAATTGCATCTGCATTGCATGGAGTACGGCACATTCTTCGCAAGGATTTCATGCTTCAGGTATGAATGGTTCTTGTTACAGTCTACTCACGTTTACCACATTGTTGTTTTTTCAAATCATCGATGTTCAATGCCTATGCACGTTTTGTTTAGCCTCCATGGGATACAGAAGTCGGCAAGAAATTTATCCTTCATTATACCTATGGATGCGATTACACCATGAAGGTATGCCTTCTTCCATGGACACTTATAATCAAAATGCTTTAGTTCAAGTATTCTCCTGCAATGGTTAAAACCAATAGTTTGTTTTTTTTCTCTACTTGTACAGTATTTTATCCCTATACAAACATTCTGTATGTCCTGCTTTTACTAATAGTAAATAAACAGGGAAAGTTAACTTACGGTGAAGTCGGAGAATGGAGATTCGACAAGAGATCCTATCTTGGTGGCCCTCCCCCAAGAGATATACCATTACCTCCTCCAGGTGTTCCTGAAAGTGTGGTATGTCGTCTAATCACCATCGAATCTAAATTTAGCTTGTTTCTACTTTCTAGATGAAATTTCCGGGTAACATTATGAGCGTGTAACCATATCTACAGGTGAGGCTTGTCAAAGCCGTGAATGAGGCAAGCGCAAACATCCCCGGTTGGGACACATTGTAGATACCATATGCATACACTCACCCGTAGCTTTTGATCTTTTGCGAACCAAGCTTTGATGTGCGCCACTTTTGTTTAGAAACTCATTGTTTTATACTCAGTAAGGTTTAATTATATACAAAACTTATGATGAAACAAATACAGGGTAGAAAATATATATATATATCCCTTTCTGTTGTTGTCGTAAGCTCCATTTGAGAACCTCTTAACATATGGAGAACAACAATTTTTTGTGCTAATATGTTCCTGTATTGATTCGACTCTTGTTGGTTGTAATTTTGTTCTGAAGGCATTGAAATGTTGAAAAACACACTGAATTCATTTTATCTGCAGTAGATCACTGTTCTTGTTGGTTTTGTCGGCACAATTGACATGTTATTACAGGCTGAATTTGGCTCTATCAAGGATGTGTTGTCTGAGAATTCATAGAGGGTCTCATTTTTACATTCAGTTCTTGGTCGAACGCCCATTTTCTTGGCAGCTTTGCCAGCTTCGACTTGGGCTTCTTTTACTGTCATGTTCTTACCAATCTTAATTATGAGGATAGCTGGTGAGCTCGGCGCCCCTTTGACTGCTGCAGGATTTCTTGACGGGAGTTGGGAGTTGGGAGCTGGGAGCTGCTCCGTTGATAAGGAAATTTAAGACTAACTATATATATATATATGGATGAAGAGGAACCAACTCGGGTGGAGCATTCGGATTTTCGGTTACCGAACCGAAATGACCGAAATCAGAAATCCGAAAATTCGTAATTCGAACTAAAAAATCCGAATCAAACCGAAAAATCCGAAATTTTAAATATTTTTATTGTTTTTTTAAAATTTTTAAATTCTTTTATATTTTATTATTATTTTATAATATTAAATATATATAATATATAAAAATTAAATATATTAAAATATAATTAATAAATTTGAGTTTTTTATATTAAAATATAATATTTTCTAATAAAATATTACATATATATATAATAAAAAATATATTAAAATATTATATTTCGGATTTCAGATTGGTTCGGATTTTAAGTATATCGATCCGATCCGAAAATTCAAAATTTATTAAAAATTCAATTCGATCCAATTCGAAAAATCCAAACTAAATTTTAAATTTCGATTTAATTGGAATTGAATTTTCAAATTTCAGATATTTTGCTGACCTCTAGAACCAACCTTAAGATAATAAAGAATGGAGTGGTATTAGCACCGGGGCAATCGGTTCTGGGCTGCCCGAATGTTCTAGTGAAGATGCTGTTCTTTCTCACCGGCTTAAATGTAAGGTTGAATATCTTCCTCACTGTTTTCGGAATCAACGAATGCTTTGTAAGGAAATAATGCGATAATAATCAAATAATTAAAGCTCACGTAAACCAGGGTTTGTTCTTGCACAATTTTTCAAAAATATATCTACCTAAAAAAAATTAATATATTACACACTTATTACTTTTATATTTAAACAATTTTCTATACTTCACATTAAAAAATAAAATCATCTCTTCAAACATTCACTAAACAAACACACCTCAAGTCAAAGCATGATTCTATCTATAAAATAATTACACTCCGGTAGTACTTTGGACAGTGGTGAACTGTTTCTGTTTTATTTTTTTTTTAGATTTTAAACATTTCGGTTTGAAGCGGCTCTCACTTCATAATTACATAAGTAATTTTATTTTACATTATTCAACTTTAACTTAATAGTTATTAAGAATATTGATTCAACCTTAATTATTTATTATTTTGGCATGAAATCACACTTGTTACTCTATAGAGAATAGTAATGGAGTGTTGTCGCAAGATTTTGTAACTTAGTTTTCCTATTGAATCAAGCTTTGAGATCTTCAAGTAAGTTGACTAGGCTTATTATTGTAATCATTTAGAGTCTACGGACTTTAGACTTATTCTCTTCAACAGTTTGTACATTTGATCTATGTGTAACACTTCGCTTAGAAGATCAACTAGGTTTTCTATTGAATTCTTGTAGTCAATAATCCAAACTTCATTGGTGATCAAATATCTTACAATGTTATGTTTCCATCATATATGTCGTAATTTACAATTTTAAAGTATGTTATTAGTCTTTGCTACTACAACTTGATTGTCGCAGTGAATCACCACTGTGAGTACTAGTTTAAATCAAATATAGAATGACATCCATGAAATTTCTAAGTTAAAGCTTCTTCACCGGCTTTGTATAAAATGATAATAACTATACCTCCAAGGAAGTTTAGTGGATTGTACAATCTATATTTTTTTTTTAAAAAAAAAAAGAAAAAAGTCATGAAACAACAATTTTCTTTTCGTATCGACGAATTAGAAGAGATGTCAACTCCACTTTCAACAAGGGAAGCATATCCACCTGAGATAATGAGTCTTTTGTGTCGGGTATCTAATCTACATTGTAGTTCCCTTCATGTAATGAAGGGTATTCTTTATAGTGATGTCAAATTCGACAATAAATTTAACATAATTCAAGACTCTTATTAGCGTCTTTTAGTGTTTGTGACTTGAATTACTAGTGTATCGACCTAGTTTGTGTTCTAGACATATTAGGTTAGGCCTTGTATAATTGGTAATATATTAGATTTCTAATTATTCTAACATACTCTTTTTAAGCTACAGGGTTCCTCATATATTTGTTCATATGTACACCCAGATCTATCTGGGTTTCTTCCGATGTATTATAAAACATTAAACTTTCTCAGTACATTTTTGACATAGTGAGAATGAATTAAAATAATATTTTTTTCTGGTCTTAACTTCTCATCCTAATAATAATATCAGTTACTCCCATGTCTTACATGTCAAGCTTTTAATTTAGACACACTTTTCACATTTGTTTATGAGTAAATTTCAGTTCAGGCACTTTGTGTTATTTAATATTTGCACAGAATCCCCTGTATTTAAGTTTTGGATATTTAGTCATTGTGATTTGAGAAAGTCTGCATAAAAACCCCTATTTTGTCTACAACTAATGGAAGGTTGAATCACGCGCGGTTTGTGTGTGTCTGATAAAAGATAATTCCCAAATATTTTATAAAAAGACAAAAATATCCTTCATATGTTTGAAATAGATGCATCCCCTTCTGTTCAAAACGCGATCTTATTCTGATTAAAGTAAACTCCAAGCATATTTATGGCAGCAACATGCATTTCTCTGCAGCAGTGTGCATTTTTTCTTATCCTAGCAAAATGTTCTAGTAAGTAAAAATCACGGCTATTGGATTATTTTCAAATATTTCAATAACACTATTAAATGCCAATAAAAAATCTGCAGCAGCATGCATTTTTTCTTATGCTGCTGCAACAACCTGCATTGTTTGTTATGAATGTTTTTTAAAATTTTATTTTTATACTAAACAATCTAATCCTATGACACAAAAGAAGTGAAAATGACAACAACAACATAGTTAAAAATAATATTATTGCATATATATCAATATAAAATATATTTGCAATCGAGTCAATCTAAAAACGACACAAATATCATAGTTCAAAATAACATCAATACAAACCTGTCAACATGCAATATATTTGCAACTAAATCATCCATAGGAATGACTTCCCAATTCATAGTTCAAAATAACAAAAAAAACATAGTTCAATATGACACCAACAACACGCCAATATCTTACGATATCACCCTAACATGCCGACCAAAAATTCAAACGCAAAACTCCTCCACAACATACAAAGCCAGACCATGCCATTCACATACATTTCAATCTAGCCACACATTCACAATCCTTTAGAACAATCATGAGTTTGGTTGGGAACAAATGGCACCTCTCGGTTCGTTATTTTGTTGACGCGATATTCTTGATTGACTCTTCTTGTAAGAGAATCTTAATGCATGTAATATGAAAGACAGTGATGATCCTCGTTTCATAGCAAAAATATCATCATCATCAGAAGGACCATCGAAATCGCCATACATCCACGATGGATCTTCAGAATCACTGTGATGCCTTTCAATACTTACATTGTCAGTCTCATTAGCATCATCTCCACCAACGCCTAGTATTTCATCACTATCACTTGGAAATCCATAATCATCACAACCCACCCTCCCATCGCAGCTCCAAAATCCTCTATCGTTGCCCGCCACTCCAAAATCCGTAGCAACCCCCCTCCCCCACCCCCCGCGCTCGTATAGAGTTGCATCTGTTAGAACTTGTCAGGAATTTAACCCTAAGCCCAAGATCTACCGTGTTGTAATAATTGAGATAAGAAAATAAAAGGAAATAAATCTAACCTTATTCCTCAGCATAGTCGGATTTAGATCTGCAAATAATGGAGGGTTTTGTGTTCTTCAAGCCTATGGCGCAACACCTCTTGAGAAAATCGCTAGGGTTTCTGCCGTTACTCCCACGATGAGATATGGAACATAATGGTTGTTACGTCTAGACCTGGGATCACAACCCTATTTATATCCCTTATTATTAAATGACCTCATCACCAAATTAATAATTTACCGGGTTTCTGCACATTGGAGGCCTGCACTTACTAAATACATTTAAGCCCAATAAATTTATAGATCACTTAATATAGCCTTAATCTGACTGATAGCCCAAATAGTTACATTTAACCCACAATTGGATTTTTAATCCAACAATCTCCCACTTGGGTAAATGTACACTGAATAACCTTATGAGCTCATGAAAAATTTGCTATCAGATCCTTTAATGTATATTACCAATCTCATCTATAAATCACATCAATGCGGATCAAAGCGGCCATCACTGCATTTATCGCAATGGGACCGATTAGTGGTCACAACACTAATATAACCTAAGATTCGATCAAGTGCGGATGCACAACATGGAAACTTCATGTAATGTGATCTTAACATGCCTATTTCCAGCTGATCCACCTTAACTTTAATTCAGAACAACTGAACACTGAATTAAAAATGAATACTGAAAAGTGCATACTGAATATTGCAATACAAAATAAAGTAACCTTAGTGTATTTGAACATTACTAATTAGCTCCCACTAAACCAAAATATCTTATATGGTTACACTCTCATACGAGCAACATGCTCATTATAGAACTTATGTGGAAACCCTTTTGCAATTAATTGGATCCGCAATCATGGAAGCTACATGAATATGTTCAATAACTAATTCATAATATGAAGTCATACAATTAAGCAACTGATGATTATTATTATCAAATAAGGTACTAGTTCTAACGAATTTTGAATTTTGGAAGAGACAAAACTCTATATCCGAATGAACAATAATAACTCAATTTGTTCAAAATAGAGATCGAAATTAAATTTCGACTAAAGATGGTACCATAAAAAAATGTCTCATCCAAATTCAATTAGTACCA